GGATTGACATCCCTAGGGAGAGGCGGTAGGTGGGGAGGGGAAGGGAGGAGGGAGGGGTGGGGTGGAGTGGAGTGGCCGGCGTTGGGAGTGGAAGGATATGGGAGGACAGGTCGGTGGGACTGCGGGAGGGGTGAGGGGACGAGAGGGATGGTTTTAGGGTTTAGGGGAGAGGAAGGATACAATAAATTATAAATATAGGTAATGATCTGGTGTGCTAATATTTTTATTTCAAAATTATCCTTAATTTAATCTTGACCGTTATTTTTAAAAAAAAAAGAGATAAATAAAGTTAATTAAGGGGTAGATGTAGGTTGCCACGATGGTTACTAAAAAACTAGTATTCACCCTAACGCATTCCAAAGGTTCATATTCGCGGACCTCGCGAATTTGTATACCTCCACAAACAATAAATTAGTCTCAAGTCCATAATACTTTAGATTGGAATGGCAAATCCATCATCCCAAATCTTACAAGTAAATTCCTATAAATAAAAAATCTCACAAGTAAATGATAGGTAATTAATGCTGTGTCTCGTTGCAGTACGTACGTAGGTAGGTGTGAATTAATATTGTGGTGAGAGGAGAGCACAATTAAGTTTATTTATTGCTGTCGTACGTAGGTAAGAAGATGTCGCATTGTAGTTATTGGTGAGGGGTTATTTTTTTTGCATTAAGAGGAGGCCGCAGCCGAGCAAGAGACAAAAGAGTTACAAAGTGGAATTAGAGGTGGAAGATCGAACAGCAACATGGCGCTCGAAGGTGGTGCCTCGGAAATCATCTAGAAGAAGGGTCTCTAAACCGGGGGTGGGCTAGCAAGCTCATGCATACCGTAGGGATAGACGAGACTGTGCTTCGAGAGCCAGTCCGCGACTCTATTCCCTTCCCGGTATACATGAGTAATGTTAACCAACCAGTCCCGGCCTAGTTTCCTGCAGATGCTAGCCAGAAGAGTGGCATATGGGTGGAGGGGGTCGTCTCTATTCTGAATGAGCTTCACGGCCAACTGTGAATCAGATTCAACTCTGACTGCTCTGTATCCAAGTCTCCACGCCAAATCCAGACCATAGTAGATTCCCCAAATCTCAGCAAGGGCCGCCGTGGCCACTCCAATATTTGCCACAAAACCGCCCACCCACATACCAGTGGGGCCTCTGATAACTCCTCCAGCTCCAGCCGGGCCCGGATTCCCATTAGAAGCCCCATCCACATTCAAAGTGACCCATCCATCAAGAGAGGGGGACCAGCCAATGTTCTCCCATTGCCGAGCTGCAGGGCGCGCACGACCGTCCGGAAGCAGAGAAGGCGCGTGCCAGGAGTCGTGCCACATCTTCGCCTTGATCATGATGGAGTGCTCGAGGGTAGGAGCTGAGAGGGCAGCAGTCTTGCCTCGGAGGGCAGCCGTACACTTGTTCTTCCAGAGGAGCCAGGCAGCCATGCTGAAGAAAGCCGGCCAGCTAATGTCAGACGCCATCATATCCTCTTCAAGCAAGTTCTTGCGGAGCCAGTCTTCCTGCTGATCGCTGAAGAAGGTCTGCTGGCGCTGGGTAGGGACATGGAGGGACCAGAAGAAGAGGGCTGGGGGGCAATCCCGGAGGATGTGTAGGATCGTCTCCGGCTGGTTGTTGCACTGGTCGCAGCAAGGGCTCGTTGCAATCTTCCTGCTGTACCGGAGTACATTGGTGACAATCTTCCCCAACAGCGTCTGCCACATGAAAGTTCTGATACGCTCCGGCACTGGGAGGCGCCAAATGGTCTTCCAGATCTTCTCGTTCGGGTCCGGGGGTCTTTTGGTGAGCAAATCAAAGGCCGATTTGGTGGAGAAGCGGCCATCTGCACTCACCGCCCAGAACAGCCGGTCCTCCTCCTGAGAGAGCTTGTCAACTGCAATACTCAGGATTTTTTGGTGGATTTCACTCGGAAGAAGGTTGTTGAAGAGCTCGGTACACCAACTCCCGTCATCATTAGTGAAATCTGCAATCGTCGCCTCCACCAGCTCTGTAGGAATCTCGCCAGTGGCCATCTCCTTCAAAGGTACCTGTAAAACCCACGGGTCAAGCCAAAATTTAGTGCCTTTACCATTTTTAACATTCCACGCACATCCTTTATTAAGGATGAAAGAAGCTTTGGCCAAGCTGGCCCAGGTACAGGAACTTCCCTTTACTGGTTTGATCAGATTGAGACCTTGCCTCTGTCTGCCGTACTTCGCTTGCATCACCCTAGTCCACAAAGTATCTTTCTCTTGAATCAAGTGCCATCCGCTCTTGGCTAACATGGCAATGTTGGCTTGCCTGGTCTGCCTAATGCCCACTCCGCCTTGGCATTTAGGAGAAGTCATCTTGTCCCAAGCCACCAGGTGGATCATGCTCTTCTCCGGCTCGTCTCCCCAAATAAAGTCCCTGCTTAACTTGTCAATGCTTTTGCACACATTGCTCGGGATCAACTCAATCTGCATGTTGTAAACAGGTAAAGACACACCAACAGAGTTGGTTAGAGTGAGTCTAGCCGCAAAAGAGAGGCGTTTTGCCTTCCAGGGAGCCATTCTCTTCTGGATACGGAGGATGAGAGATTGGTATCTGTATTTGGTCACACGCCCCTGAATTGCCTGGATGCCGAGGTAGCGCCCCAAGGCCGCTTTAAGAGGAACACCCGCTTGGTGGCTCAGTCTCGACGCCCTCTGCCGATGAATGTTTGGGGAGACATAGAGAATCGACTTATCGTAGTTGACCTTTTGCCCCGAGCTGAAGCAAAAGTCATCCAAACAATGTTTCACGATCTAGATCTGCCTAGACTCCGCCTCTGCAAAAAGGAGAAGATCATCTGCAAAGAAAAGATGAGTTAGAGGTGGACCATTCGCAGAAAGCTTAATTGCTTTCCACTGCCCACTATTAACTGCTTCATCAATCCTATGCGATAGTCGCTCCATACAAAGGACAAAGAGATAGGGAGAAAGGGGGTCTCCCTGACGGACACCGCGGGACGGGGAGATCGGCTGAGAGAGCTCGCCATTCCAGAGGACTCTCATCCTGTTATGCTCCACACAGGTCATAATACAGTTGATCCAGGAACTGGGCAGGCCTACTTCTTTCAGCGTGTCCCTAAGGAAGTCCCATCTCAGTCTATCATAAGCTTTCTCCAAATCAATCTTGAAAATCATTCCTCCTTTCTTGCCCCTCTTCCTCTCCAGAGTGTGGAGGACCTCCTGAACTACGATGATATTGTCAGTAGTCTGCCTTCCCGGAATGAAGCTGCTTTGCCTGGGAGACACCAGCTTCCTCATGAGGGGCTTCAGTATGCCGGTCATGGCTTTAGTGATGGCTTTGAGACTAACATTATTTAGCGAAATGGGGCGGAGCTGGTTGACCCTTTCAGGAGTTTCCACCTTCGGGATCATCACAAGGGTGGAGTCTGATATGCCATCCGGAAGAGATCCTGTCGCAAAGAAAGACAGTGCCATGTCTGCTAACTTCTTTCCCACAATCTCCCACATCCGCTGGTAGAAAGTCGCATGAAAACCGTCCGGCCCAGGAGCTTGAAACGGCTTCATCTCAAAGATCGATTTGTGTATGTCCTGTATAGAAAAGGGGGTCAGAAGCAAAAGCATCTCCGAGTGGCTCAACGAGGGGAACGCATTTTGAGGCAGCCTGTCTTCATAGGGAAGATCCTCCTGCAGGAAAAGGTTAGACACATAGTCGAAAACTAAGGAGGCCAGAGTATGAGGCTCATTCACCCAATTTCCGTTCACGTCTTGGAGCGCTTCGATCCTATTCCTGCATCTTCTGATGTTGACAAGTTGAAGAAAGTAAGCAGTATTACGTTCCCCAAATTTCACCCACCTGTCCCTGGAGCGCTGGAACCAAAGAATTTCTTCCTGCTCAAGGATTCTGTCCAACTCCACTTCAAGTTTCGATCGGAGTTTAGCTAGACCAGGAGAGAAAGAATCCGCCAGGTTAGAGTCGATGCCTTTGATTCTGGCTAACAGTCTGCTCTTCTTCATGTGGATACTACCAAAAGTGAAAGCATTCCAGTGCTGCAACTTGCTTGAGAAGTAGCAATCGCATTGGGAAAAGGGGAATCAGGGTCCCAGGAGGTCGAAACAGTCTCTCGCAAACTGCCATCAGTTAGCCAGGCTGCCTCAAACTTGAAGGGCCGAGTGTTGTTGTTGCCTCCAACGTGAGGGGAGATAGAGGTCAGCAGAGGAGCGTGGTCCGAGTGCAGCCTAGGAAGATGGGTAACCGTGGAGTTTGGAAACCTTTCATTCCACCGCAAGTTGCACAAACTTCTATCAATTCTGCTGGCCTTAAAAGAGTGTTGCTGGTCTCCCCTTGTCCACGTGAATCTCGCACCAGAGAAACCCAAATCTATCAGCTCTGCTCGATTAATGCGATCATTGAAAATGCGACATCTCCTCAGGGTAGATGTCGTGGGGGCACCAGACTTCTCTTCGGGACTGCGTATGGCGTTGAAATCTCCCGAAAGAATCCAAGGGAGTTCGAGCCATTCGCTTTGCTGAATGAGGCTATCCCAGAGAAGTCGCTGCTCGCTAGGCCGGGGTGACGCGTACACTGCGGTTAAGACCCAAGGTTGCTTGGTGGCCTCCTCAATCCTCAGGGAGATGTGCTGGTCGCAAGTAGAGATGAGCTGGGCCGAGAATCTCTTGGCGTCCCAGAAGACCCAAATACCCCCGCTTCTTCCATTCGCTTCTACTCGGATTGAATTTCGGATACCCCAGTCTATCACACGCAGCATTAGCGGCCGAGCCGCTGATCTGAGGCTCCAGGAGAATGACAAAATCAGGGTGATAGGTCTGAATGACGAGCTTCAGCGAGGATGAATGTTCTGCTTCCAGCTCCTCCTACATTCCAGGAAAAAATGCTTAAATTAGAACTAGTAGACAAGGCCATGATAATAAAAACGAAAAGAAAGGGAGGGAGAGGTGAGGAGAAAAGAATAGAAGAGGGTCTCATTGGGTAGTGGTGTCGAGTTCGGCCAGTCTCGCTTCGGTCATAAATCCTTCCTTCTGCGAACTGGGAATTCCTCCTAAGGGCTTGTCCGGCGCCTCTTTAGCAGCATTTGTCCAAGCATTGATCTCCTGTAAGGTGAGGGTCGCAATTCTGGCTCTTGATTTGGTTTTGCGATCTTTCTTCGGCGTCCAGATTTGCAATCCCTTCAGCGGACTAAGCTTGGTCAGGGTTCTCCGAGGATCCGCCTTCCGAGATTTGTTTTGTTTGGTCCTGGCCTTCGCTGATGGAGTCTGGGCGGATTTGGCTTCCCTGTTTCCTTCCTGTGCAGGCTGAAGATTAACAATTTGCATGATTGTACCATTCGCACCAGTCACCGTTTGGACGGCAGGAGGCGTCGATTTGCTCTTCGCGATCCCGGTGGCCGAGTCTCCCACTGGCGGTGACATTTTCGGCAGGGGCGTGGTCTGATCCTTGGGTTTTGGATAGGTAGTGGACTTGAGCGGGCTTTTGGACGAAGTCGAGGCTTGGGCATGGTCGTCCTTGGGTTTTTGCCCATTACCAAAAAACGGGACTGTCTCTGGAATAGGGCCCAAGAGACCTTTTCCTCCAACCCTTACCGCAGTTGAAGCTGGTTCTTTTCCTTTTTTTTTCTCCTGTGTGTTTCTTTCCTGTTCCGCCTTTCCTCTCATGGTTGGATGTCCGTTGAGGTGAATCTGGGGCGTCTGCGGGGATATCGGGGCTGTCCTTCCACCTTCCTTCTGCGAAACCTCCTGCTTTCCTTGTTTTGCAGGCATAATACCGTTGGCATTCTTAGAGGAGGAATCTAGTTTCCCTTTTTGTGATGGATCCCGCGAATTCCGCCTGCTCTTGCGGGAAACGAGCATCCAGAGCCCAAATCCCGGAGTCGATTCCTCTTCTCCTTGTTCTGCCTCGTTTGCCGGAACCTCGCCGCCGGTGATAGCTAAGATCGGCGGGGGAGATTGCAGTCGCAGCTTGGGACAGAGCAGGGAGGAGTGCCCAATTTTCCCACATTCGAAGCACACATCGGGGAGATTTTCATACTCGACTTTCTGCCAGGCATCGTCCAACCAAATCCGAGGAACCAGGGGCTTGGACAGGTCTACTTCAACAACAATCCTAGCAAACTTTGCTCGTTGTAGATTTAGGGTATGGAAATCCAAACGGATCGTTCTTCCGAGGAGATTTCCTAAGGAAGTCCGGATTTCTTTGTGATAAAAGTGGATTTTCAGTGCCGGAAATTGAACCCAGACAATCATCTTCCTCGGAAGCGGATCAGAAACCTTGAAGTTGGGAGACCATTGCTGCACTGCTAGGTAGTGGTCAAAAATTGTCCATGGTCCGTCTGTAAGAGCTCTGAAGTAGTCCTGTTCATTACTGAGTTTCACTAAAAAACAGTCTTGGTCAAGGTCCATGATTTCCATGGCGTCTGTTGGCCTCCAGAGCCCGCGGAGTCGAGAGCAGAGAGTATTGAATCCGATGGTGGTGCCAAGTAGTCTCACAACAATTGTTCGGTGCCAGGGGGCACAGATCCTTTCTTTGAAGGTCGTTGAAATATTGAGGGCCGGCTCTCCGTTTCGGCTACCCGGGATCAGGTCGTTTTCGCCCACCGGAGTCCATTGAGAAGCTTGATCGGAGAAAGATATGTTGGATTTCCACCCCCTCACCGCCGATGCATAGGAGAACTGTGCCGTCGGCTTGATCTGCACCGGAGGTTCCTGCGCTTGCACCGTTTCCTTTTCCGTGGCCGTGGCCGGTGAATCGGCAATTTCGATGTCTCTAGTCACAACCCCCGATCCAGCAGAGGCATCGGTGATCATATCGGTTGCTGCTGCTATGTGCGCGGTGCCAGTATTCGCTAGAGAGGGTTTCGAGGTGAAGTCCGGCGGTCGGTCCGATGGGAGGAGTGCCTGCGGCGGCGCTGCGGAGGGCGTTCCTTCCAGCGGAGTTGAGAGCATTTTTATCGTCAGATTTTTCAAGATGAAGGTAAATGATTGGTGAGGGTTATTTAGAGAAACCAATTTCTCTATTAATTAGTATCATTTCCTTCCGGTTATCATTTTTTTGTTTATACATGTGATAATAGAGACCGTTAGTTTATTTTTATATGTTGTTGTGGCAATATGATCAGTTGGTAGCATTATTGTTTTCAAATCAATTATTTATTTAATCTTCTTGTTCATTGTTGTTTTCCCATCAACTATTTTGAAATCCCTCATTATTATTATTGTTTTCTTCCAACCACCACCTCCTACCCACCTTTTTCATCATTGTCATTGCGGTTCTTTTCCTCGTTTGGCCACAAATCTTCGTCTCTTGCAGGCCGGCCATAAAATATTTTGTACTATGGGTCTCAAATTTTGCCTTAACCAAATCTCAAATGAAATGTGAAATTTACAAATTCTTGTGATTCGCGAATTGATATAAAAAAGGTCCAAATATGCTAACCTCATGAATTTGTTTTTTTTTTTCGTTCGTTGAATGACCTCGTGAATTTGTATATCTCAACAAACAATTGATTTCACCATCAATCACACAACCAAACCATATGTAAGTCTAAGTGGTTGTGGTTGCTGCAGTAGGTGTGATGCGAATTAACAAGGAGGTACGATGTCACAAATTTAATGTGTTTGATCAGAGCATTGGATCCAACTATTTCCGTCCCCGCTGGCGAGGGAGAGAGATGTCATATTGTGTAGTTATAAATGGTGAGGGTTGATTAGAGAAACAAGATTCTCTATTTAATAGTATGATTTTCCGGTTTTTTTTTTATACATGTGACAATAGAGATATAAAAAAAAATCTTTTTAATTTCGTTTTCATATATTGTATAGTGAAAACGACAATAAGTAATTTTCTTGTTGTTTCCAAAATTTGAGTCTCGTGGAATTCTATAAAAAAGTTGTTAATAATTTCTTTTAAACGAGTCAATGAGTAAATCTCACCAGACTCATAGTGTTGCCTACTGATGGACCAAAGCCCATTTCCCAAGTGACCAATTCTTGTGCTGTCCCATGCCATGATGCATGTGTCACGTATGGGCCATGAGAAATGTACACGTGGCTAGAGTGGGGAACCAATTCAAGTTGCAGCTGCTGCCTCTTTCGATTCACAGTTACTATATTCCTAGTTTCCTACTATCAAAATGTATGCCTACGAGGAATGGAAAACAATCACAATCGTATACGTTACGTTGTGGGCACCATAAATAAATTCTTGGGCCCCAGCTGTGAATTGAAGTTGGGGTGCGGAGGAGGACCCAGGCCAGCAACAATCATAAGTTTAGCTCGGCCCATCTCGGGCACTTATTGATTGTACGATGAGACAAGACAGAAGCGGCCCATGATGATAGACAGGACCGGAACCCGGGCCGTCCATGATATTTGGAGGATGTGTTAGAAAATTTAAAATGTGATTCTAAATTATTTTCTTCATAAATTTATTAAGTATAGAAAATGATTACAAAAAGAATAAACCAATTTCGTTTCCGATTTTATCGGCGACACACTCTCTGACAATCCTGGGTCCGCTACTTAGTATAACACACAAAGAAAAAACGCCTGACATTGATTAAGCTTCTAATTATCTAAAGAACATGCATGAACCAAAAGTGGTCAAAGAAATAGAGGGCTAATTGTACAATCCTGAGAAGTTCAGCAAGAATGAGCGGGACATACTCATGTTTCCCGATGGAGATGACACTAAGAAAATCATATCAGCAGAACCAAATTCCTAAGGAACGTACAAACTGTAAGCTGGAAAGAATTATTTTAAATAATAGAAGCGATAAATTGTAAGCATCGCCATCAACTAAGGAAGAGGTTTGCAGAGATCTCCGTCTCTGTATATTGTCCGGAGACAATTTTGGAGACCTATGTTCCCAATTTTATGTTTTTACTACGGCAAATCATCATACATATGATGAGCGGGGAATTGTGGTCTGTGGAGAGCTGATTAAAGGTGACATCTCTACTGCCTACCTCTTCATCATCAAAATCCTCATGCCCGCTACCCAGTGCAAACTGCTTCTAAACCTTCATTAGAAAGTGGCGATATTGCGAGCTAGCATAGGAACAAAGACTATGGAATAAAGAGGAAGGCCGATAGAGGAAAAAGCTCCGGTCGGATTCTACTCTATCAATCGGTTAAGACGATCAATCATCTTCTATGGTTGTAACTTGTAATGCTAGGGATTTTGACCTTCGCCCCTTCTAAACCCAAGCCCAAATCCCAGTTCGATTTCATCGACGACGGCACCGGCCGCCAGCTTTTCATTCCCTTGATTACCCGCGGCGAAGATGACATTTTTCTTCTGACCCAAGTCTTGGTAATGACATTTTTTTCCCGTAAGAAGATATTTAAGTTCTAAGTTGAACTTACAAATTTACCCCTAGCTACAATTAAGGAGAGTGCAAGGAATTTGAAGTGCTCAAAATCTCGTGAAGAACGGCTATATATTATAGAGGGATTTCTACACTCCGTTAGTCATCAAAAAGCAATTAGAAAAATTATTTCACACAAAATAATTTATATTACTAGCTGAAGCAACATATTTTTGTCTCATTGACTCTGTGTTCGTGTTAATCATTTTGCATTGAAATCTGTACCAATTAGGAACCATGCTCATCTTTGGTAATCGATTAGATTCTTTCTGACTTATTCCGACTTAATGTTCAACCTTTGACCAGATATATGCGTTGAAGCGTGTACGTATTGGTGGTTACAGACTTCCAGTAGATCTAGGGTAAGTATTTTCGTGATCCTTCTATGAATGTAACTAATTATATACTAGAACAACAGTAATTAGGTATTTGAAGAGCATATTGGGTTTCCCACTGAAATATTATCACAGTATCCATGAAGGGGTTACAAGTACTTAAATAGGCTGTCACCCAAGTTTTTGTTAACGAAGCTCCTACCTGATGATCCTAACTGGATGAATTCTGTGCTAAATTTGTTTTTGAATCTTAGGATTGGAAAGCATATTGAACTTAAACTAGGCGATCTGAAGGCAATGGGCTGGAAGGGTTGAAGTTGGGAGTTATCTGCAAATTACTCTATCATTTCTACCCAACAGCGACCTGGTTTGAAGATATCAAGGGATTTTTACAGTCTTTACTCATAAATAGTGGAGCATTCAACTCACCTAGGTGTTCGAAAGATATGCCTCCATTAAGAGATCCCCTTGTCTACTCGTAAGTCGTAAGGCCCGTGCTCCCTTGTAGTTGAAGTTTTGAATCAATTTTACGACATCAGATGACCTTGCTAGATTAGCTCGATGAATGTAAATGTCATTGCAAGCAAATGTATGCCACAATATGTCATTCCTTGTAGCGACGTGACGATTATAGTGTTGGTTGTTCGTTAAGTGTTCCATGAATTTCTTCCAGCTTTAGATGAGCAATATGTCGTTGAGCAAGAGTACTGTGTTTCCTTTATATCCCCAGCGAGTTCTAGCTCCTTGTCCCGAACTCCGGATCGTAAAATGGGCAGAGAGTGTGCTGTTGCTGCTACCTGACTGACGATATACAGTTTGCCCGAAAATGGAGGTTGAATATGACAGAACAGAAAGGGACATATTGTGTATGCATAAATGTAGCAAGTAGTAGTAGCTTGCATGTGGAATGGGGGAAACAGCTGAGCTGTTTATCAGTTTTTGTATGTACAACAAGCTGTGGGACTTCACCCTCCACATGCCATTTGCCTGCATCTGATGTTGCCTGTTGGTTTGTGAATGAGTAGAACAAAAAATGAAAGCTCAAGTTCTGGATTTAACTTTTATTTGATTCCTTTTTAAGATATGGAGACATGTATACAATTCAATAAATTGAGAAGACATTTTCCTTGTTCATACCATCATGGTACGCTTTCTTACCGTATAATATTAAATATGAGCATACCATATGGTAATGACTGGTAAAAAATTATTCAATTTTTTTGTACTAAAAATATATCAAAGTGAATATCATTTTAAAGAGCACATTTAATCTGATTTATCTGTGCAAAAAAATTAAATTTCGACTTAAAACGAGAGAGAAATTATTCGTTAAAGATTAAAGGCGAAAAGATAAAAAAAAAACTTTCCAGGAAAGAGGGGATGATAATGTCATGCGGATGTGAACAAATTACTGATGATTAGTCACCATAAGAGTTACTGACCTGATCCGCTACCTATGTTACCTACTACTACCTACCCTCTAGTTGCAAACAAAGAAGGTTCTCACTTCTCACACATCAATCGTACATAGGTTGTCGGCACTTGGCACCATGACATTTTATGCAGGGGCGGAGCTACATTGGTCTTCGGGGGGGCCAGGGCCCCCCGAGAATTTCGAAAGTAACGTATAAATGGTCGACTATTTTACGTATTGAAAACAATGTTATTATAAAACCATCGAGAGTGAAAATAAATAATTGGATTTTCAACTTAGCCTAACGGTTCAGGGCATTCTTACAGGTTGGTATTTTTATTATATTTGATTTCTAATTTGGTATACATTTATTTTCAGTTATAAAAAAATAGAATTTGCTACACAATTCATTGTTGCCTTTCTTTTATAAATTTCTATATCATATTAAACCTAATGTGAAAAAATTGATAGTTTAACTTCTATTTTGAGTGATTTTAATCATTTCAAAAAATAATTTATGCAATTATTAATTTTTTTCTATTATAATATACAAAATAAAAACTATAATATAAACAAAAATGATTTTAGTCATCTCAAAGAATGTTTATACGATTATTATACTATAATTTTTAAATAATTTATTTATTTTAAAATTTTAGACTTTTCACAATATTATACTAACGAAATTCCGCCCCCCCCAAAATGTCGAATCCTAGATCCGCCCCTGATTTTATGCACATGAGAAGAATATACATAGGTTGTTGGCACTTGCCCCCAGGACATTTTATGCACATGGGAAGATGAATGGATGAGGAGTGGCCACGTGA